GGCTTAGCATTTTTTGCTTACAAACTTTCAGGATAATAAGTTTCACTTAAAAGAAACCATTAAAATTACCACGTTTTGCCAGAGATTAATTCTGCGGGATATTGGCTGATGTTCTCCTGACATATTCAATTTTTACAAGTTCACAGAAAGTGAAAGCAAACTCTTTTTGCTTATTTGACTGTTCAAAGAAGGCCGAAATGTTGGCCTCTTCAACTTATTTAATGAGTTCTGTAAATGTGCCAACGATCTTTGTTTTTCACTGGTATGTGAAGTGCTAATTCTTGTGGAGTATAGAGTCTTCACAAGCTGTGTTTGTCTCAAAAGACTGACATACGAGCAGCAGGCAATTTTTAAAGTTAGAATTTGAAATGCTCCGTGCATTTAAAATTCTTTAGTGGAGGCGCTCAGAAGCAGCGCGATTTTATAACAAGTGCTAACAAAAAGCATCTTTTGGCATGTCCGTTCGTGGCATCTTCTTTTTGAGGCTTATTTAGTAAAAAAGTGATAATAGTTCTTTCTGTCTTTCCATCGTACACCATTATAAATTTACTTTCTATATGAATGAAAGAACCATACAATGGTTGACTGTCTCAGCGGTGGAGTCGAAAGTGCAGTGCTTGCCAGTGCGCTGTGCTTGCTAGCAGCAGATAATTCTAGCTTTTTTTAGTGCGATAAGTAGTACTGCGAGGGCTGGGAAAAACTAAGACGAAGAAACAATTTTGAGAAATCAGGTGATATCTGTTCGGCCAGTGAATTTATGCCTTTTGTTAAAAACAGTTTTGTTTTGTTTGTACTCTGAACAGAAATAAACATGGATATCGAATGAATGGCAGGATTTATCGAGGGAATCGACATAGGCCTTGCATAGGCTTTTTTGTTGGTGTTTTACTGCTGTTAGGCAGCTAGTTCGAATACGGTACGAATTTATCCTGATGCAGATGTGGGAAACAAATATATTGCGATGCGGATAGGAGGCGCTAATGCACTGTAGTTTATATATTAGCTTAGACCAGTAGCCTGAACACAAAAAGTAGAAGCATGCGGTGTCTGCGAAGGGGAATGTTTGCAGTTGGCTGCTTAGCAGTCTGGAACCGCAGTTGTTTGAGCACCTTGACATGGACCTCATTTTGCACTAAATGAGTTAATTCCCAATCATGTCCTTGTCGAAATTTCCGCTCTATGATAAAAATGTGTTGCGAAAGAATAGGCAGCCATTGGTGAGAATTATTTCATCGGTGCACTCATCCTGTATCGCAAGGGCGCATTGCTTGCTCACTCAACCTGAAGAAACAATTTGTCTGAGGGATGAGGAAGTGGACTGTTCATCATCGGCTCGACCAACTTCGGTAGACACTTCGTCACCACCATCTGAATGACAGCAACAACTGTTGCACACCTCCTTCAGCCAAGACACCAGCAAAGCGAGTCCTGGCTGCATCTTTCGAAAAATACTTTTTGGACTTTCAGATCAGCTCAAATGGACCAAGCCAAGGTACCATTATACGCCAGTTTCCAATATAAACCTGCCCAGATGATTTGGCGTTACGTCTTCAACATATTACTAGCGATGTTCCTAAAAACTCTTGTGTAATCCACACTGTTTTCAAAATGCTGAAACTGCTGCGCAGGAAACCGCGTACTGGTGCATTATATACTCAGTTTTCTTGGAAGCCCGTATTATGTTTAAATTGGTTTTCGACCATTCAGTTCGCATTTTATTTCAAACTAAAACCAAATTTTGAGTATGTAGCTTGCCTCATTTTTGGTTTGTAGCTTACTAGCTTAAAAAATTGGCCAACGCACGGGCTGCCCGTGCGAAGATGCGTTTTGTGCATGGTTTCCCA